TCCCTGCCTAGGATCATACAGCTAAATGATTCAAGAGCCAGGATACAACCCCAGTAGCTGGTCCCAGAGTCTTGCTTCTTAACCACTCTGTTCCCTGTGTCTCCCTCAGGTTCGTCACTGATTGACTGCAGGATAACAAGCAAAAAATCACAAGGGACATCACTGAAAACCCAGGCCTGCATAGGTCCAAAACCAATGTTATCTCCTATCTTCCATTCCAATTACTGAGAGTAAGAAAATGTGAACCATGTAAAGAATAGAGCCTGGGTGAAACACAACATGTAAGTTTAATTTCTGCTTGTGTATACAAAGCAGCTACCTTTCTCAAAGTTGGATTTTTTTTAAGATAACCAAAAGCAAAGATTGGCCAATCTTTGATTGTTTTTTAAAACATACTTCAATATTTGGGGTGTCACTCAGTGGTAGAACATGTACTTACCTTTCATTAAGGCCCCAGCACCAAAAAAAAAAAGAAAAGAAACTACTAGAGATTTCCAGATAATATATTTACCATGTGCATGATAAACAAGCTGGATTTGTATTTGTGAAATTTTCATAAAGTAGACTCCTTCAGCAAGTCCAAAGCATAAGTTTGGTAGAAACAACACCTCAGTCTTGGAGCTACTTCTGCACTGATGGTGCATCTGGACTTCACTAATAAAACAAGTCTCCTACCTCAAAAACAGAGCTTTTGAAAGCAGAATGAAGACTCTTCCTGAGGCCATTAATGTGTCAGCAAAACCACTTGACAGTATTTTTCAGGAGTACATCTTTGGAGTCATAATCCTATAAATGAGTACTTTATTAAAGACCTCAAGTTTTTTATTGCTCGTGTTTTTATTTTACCATTTTTATTCTTTTGGCAGGAACCTCGAGCCAATGTGAATGTGTTGCCAAAGTCTGAACAACATTGCATCAGTCATTTCCAAGTAAAGACACTTACATAAGAAAAGGAATTAGCTCTGTTTCTAATGCAGTATTACAACGCATTTGCTTACTCACTTCCGACTAATTTCCACAGATGCATTTTATGGATAAATGTTAAATTCTTTCTAATTTTCAAGTTATGAGAATTGAATAACTAATTATAATTAAATTAAAATTACTCACTGAGAACATTTGCATAGCTACTTCTTATTGCTGTCCCATGTACTAATAAATAATTTCAACCACCATACCTGTTATGTACATAGGATGTAGCTGTGACTGTAAGTGTAAAGTTAGCTATTGATGGAGGTGTAGCAATGTGATTACCTGGGTTTGACTCTCAGCTCTCCATGTAATACAGTGAACCTGAACAAAGCACATAACCTCTCCAAGAGCTCAGCACAATGGCTGTGCTGATGGCAAGTGCTCAGTAAATGAGCACACAGAAAGCCTAAATCTTGCTTTCTAAGCACCATTCACTGGCAAAAGGAACCAAAGTTCCTTAGGGAACTGGCTGGTTTGGGTTTGTGGCCTGAAAATTGCAAGTAAGCCTGGGATTTCTTCTTCTAGAGACCAAGGAAGTGTTAAACACGAGCAGTGTCATGTTGCAAGATCACAGGGGTCATCTTGACAGAGCTTTGGCTGGAAAAATTTGAAGAATTTGAAACACTAAAACGGAATAATTGAGGCCGGGCATAGTGGTGCATGCCTGTCATCCCAGCACTTGGGAGACTGAGGCAAGAGGATCTCAGTGAGGTCCTTTCTCAAAAGGCAAAAATTAGTGGATAGTAATGTCCCTAATAAAATCCTAAGAAAGAGAAATCGCCTCATGATATCATATCACGCCCCCCCCAACCCCGGCAGCCACCGAACCTAACTGCAGAAGGAAAAACTAACTTTATACTTAAGATATTGGCAGTCAAACTGTGTCACTAACAAAGGAAAAAAATCAAGCATCATTTTCCCTCTAATGTGATACAATGTGAAATAACAACGTTGCTTTTTAAATATTCTCAACAAAAAGTAGCACCTGAATCCAATGTAGCATCTACACCAATTTTAAGCTTCCAAGTGCAAACACCATTACTGCCCAACAAAAAGAAAGAAAAAGAAACTATCAAGCACTCTCCAAAATGTCAATGCTATTTAAAAAAAAAAAAAAAACTTTAAAAAAATCAACAAATGCAATGAATGAACCCAGGCTGGATCCCAATTTGGGGAAGAAAATAGCGAAAATTTAGAACTGGAATGTGATATTAGGTAGTTACTAGTTGTCTATTGCTGTATAGTACTTTGCCCCAAATTCAGTGGCTTCAATCAACAAACATCTACTATCACACAGTTCCTGTGGGCCAGGAATCTGGATGTGATCTTGCTGGGTCTGGACCAGGGTGTTTCCTGAGGTCACAGTCAAACTGTTGACCAGGGAGAGAGAGAGTCATCCCAAGGCTAGGCCCAGGAGAATCTCGGTCCAAGCTCACTCATATTGTACTGGGTCAGCCTCAGGTCTATGTCACATGGGCGTTGTAATAGGCACCTGAGAACCTTCACCATGTCACCATGTGGTAGCTGACTTCCCTCAAGGGCAAGTGACTCCTGAGAGATCAAGAGAGTGCATCCAGGACAGAAGCTACAGTCTTTATATACCAACCTCAAATATGACACCCCTTACTCCAACACATTACTTCTCACTAGAAGTAACCACGTCCAGTCCTCTCAAAAGTAGGGAATTAAACTTTACCTTTCAAGAGGGGAAATTTTTTAAATTTGTAGGGCTAAAAACAAGCTCAGATAACAACACCATTATTGACTTTTAGATGATGATTATGTAAGGTAAGGTCTTCATTTTTAGGAAATGCTGAAGGAGTCAGAAACTATACATAGGATACATATTTACAACCTATTTCAAATGGTTCTAGAAAAATGTGGTATGTGTATAAAACACTAAAGTAAATATGGCAAAATGCTAACAATTATTGCATCTGGGGTAGATGATAGATGGATTTCATTGTCATATCTTTCACTTTCTCTTTAAATTGAAAAATTGAAAAATAATTCAGAATTGTTATGGGGTGAATTGTGCCCCCTGAAACTCTTGCATTAAAACCAGAATTCCTATTGTGATGGTAGAAGACAGGGCCTTTGGGAGGTGATTAGGTTTAGATGAGGGCACAGGGGGTGGGGCCCTAATGACAAAATAAGTGCCCTGATAAAAGGAGACTCAGGGAATGTGAACTTGATGTCTCCCATTCTCTCTCTTTCTCTCTCTCTCTCTCTCTCTCTCTCCCTCTCCCTCTCTCATCACCCCTCCCCCACCATGTTCTAATACAACAAGAAAGCCATCTAGAAACCAGGAAGAGCCCTTACCCAAACTCAACCTTGGCAGCACCCTGATCTTGGTCCAGAACTATAAGGGATAAATATCTGTTGTTTATGGCATCCAATCTATAGGGGTTTTGTTCGGTTTGGTTTGGTTTGCCTCAGTTTGGTTAGGTTTTTAATAGTGCAGGGGATCAAGCCCAGGCCTTGTATGTGCTAAACAAGCGCTCTACCACTGAGCTGTACCCCCAGCCAAGTCTGTGGTCTTTTGGCAGCACAAGCTATTAATAACAATGATAAATTCCTTGTTTCTCCAAAGCTGATGTGTCAGGGGAAGAAATCCAGTGATAAGAGGATTCCTTGATTTAGGGAGTTGAGGGAAGAGAAATAAAACTTGCTAGCATCAATGTGGATCATCGCACACCCCAGTGACGTCACAGTACGCAGGGAAGACGCAAGGAAGACGCTTGCTCCACACGGGCCAACTCCAGCCCTTCTGCGCAGCCTGGGGGCCCTGTGCCCTCCCCGCACAGAGCCTCTCAAGAACAATTCTTGCCCAACCATACACCCCATCTCCCTCACCAGCGCCACTTACTTTCCTCGTGTGTGTTTTTATTAACTGATTATTCTTGGAAGTGGATTGTTACTATTCATCCAATAATTAGTTTCTTTGTCACAAACTTTAAAAACATAATTAAGCGATTATACAGTGTTAAACATATGGTACTAATTCTCATGCTCAAACAAGTTCCAGCTAATTTGAAAATATCAAGAAATTCATTGTTTAAAAGTTTAGAATTAAGACTCACCTCCTTTTGTCACTATCCTTCAAAATTTCAATATCTACTTACTTTGATCCAGCAAGTCTTCTAGGATTTTGTTATATTCATATATATATATATTCATATATATATGACACATAAAAAATTATATAAAATTATTCATAGTGGCTTTATTGATAACAGTGTACTATAGATTGCCATTTGTGTTAAAAATAAACATTATATAAGATACATTATATTGTTATATATATTTATGTATATATAACAAACATTCTTTTATATATTATATGTATACATGTGTATTTATAGTTCCAGAAGGATATATAAGAACTGAAACAAGCCAGACAATGGTGGCTTACACCTGTAATCCTAGCTACTTGGGAGGCTAACATCAGGAGGATTGAGGTTTGAGGCCAGCCCAGGCCCAGGCAAATAGTCTCTGAGACCCCAACTCCAAAAACAAGTTGAAGGTGTGACTCAAGTGATAGAGCAAATGCCTCCTATGCAAGAGTGATGCCCTGAGTTCAAACCCTGGTCTCGCCAAAAAAAAAAAAAAAAAAAAGAATTACAACAAGTTTCCTCAGAGGAGAAGTAGGTGGCCATGGAGAGGGACAGGGAAAGGGTTTTCATTGCACATTTTCTGTACATTTAGAATTGTGTACCTTGTAAATGTATTGGCTATTTGTTCAAAAGCTAAAATTTGAATTCAAAAAAATCTTATGATCTAACCAAAGCAGCTATCTCCTCTACAAATTCTTCACCTTTAAATATTTTGGTTTTTTTTTTTTTTTCCAATTAGGAAATACAACAAATGACCTGTTTAAGTCACAGAATCCCATGTGCCCCAGCCCTCCTACCCAGAGCACTCTTTTGAAATTGGGGTCCATGATCTGGCACACTCATCTGACCTCTGTGTTTCCTCTTCTGCTTTTGTGCATGGTCTCAGATGCACACCCACTTTGCAGGCTGTACCTGGTTCAACTTGGCTTTCTCTTCACTGCAGGAGGCTGCTCCGCTCTGCTCTCTGTTGACGTCTGACGCCAGCCTCATGATCGTTTCTCTGTTAGCTTTTGCCTCCATCTCATGGACGTTTATTGTCTCTTCAAGTGTAACAATTTGTCCTTTCATGGATGCATTTTCCTTGTGCAGCTCTCTAAGCTGAAGAGAAAGCAATTACAACTGTCCTCAAAAATGAACAATTCATCCACTTTCTCTAAGCAACTCTTAGTCTGTAGCCCAATGACTGCATAACATGACACAGTGGAAATATCCCTTCACAGATGCAAAGCTTTCCATTTTCAAACGCAATCTCTAAGTTCAGTTAGTGCGTGCAACTCATTGGTCAAATTAAAATAATTCAAAAGGTGGCCACCAGGCAACAATGATGGGAAATGAGCCGAAAGCTTGCAAGAGAACAAGTGGCAGTAACCACTGGCTGCAGTGTCCTCCAGGCAAAGTGATGGGTGACAGAGGCCTCAACAGGCCATGGAGCAAAGGAGCCCTTCTCAGCCAACAGCTACTCATGCCTACAGCACGCAAGGTGCCATCTGGCACTGGGGGGAAATGCAGAGAAGGTAGGACTGCTGCTTATTAAAAACATCCTTCTAGCTAATACAAGCATAGAAAACTCTATATAGCATGCTCAAATAAGTGCTTCTCATTGGAGTGAGGATTAGCACTGTTTGCTTTCTAGGTTGTGCACTGGAATTATTAACTGGGTGAATTTATAAGATGTACAAGAGGGACAATGAAGCAGGCAGACTCCTTGTCCTAAGGACACTCACCCTATAGCCAAGCCATCCTCTACAGGCTATGAGGGTGCTCATAGCAAGACTTGAAGCCTCACACGACAAGGTCAGCGTTTGTGTTAGGACTACCTGCGGACGGGATCGCTCTTAACCTCTGCACTTTGCCGACACAGTACCATTTCCAACTCAGTGTGGTTCCCTCTCTCTGGAGCACCCTTCCTCACATTCGCACATTCACTGCCAGCATTGTTCCAAAGTCCTACCTTTCAGGGGCACCTCCTGGTCAGCCTACCTAAGCCACTCCACCCCTCTGACCTGCTTTGTTCTCTGTTCCTGCGTCCTCCTGCGCTTCATTGTGCCTTTCACTATGATGTTAGATCATTACTTATCTCTTCCCCATCTTGATTCCACAACAACAGAAGCTCTAAAAGAGCTAGAATTAGTCACTGCTGCATCGACAGAGCCTCAATATGGTATCCACTCACTAAATATTGGTGACATAAATGGATAAATAGTAAATCAGGTACCAGGAATGCCTCCCCTTCCACCTGGATCTTGGGAATGTGTGCGCATGTGTTTTCATGAGGGCATCTAAAAGTGAAAGAACAGCTTTGACATTGGAGAGATGTTTCTACTCCTCACAGGAACACCTGCTGAGGATGTGGTCTTGATCCAACACCAGGCTTCTTGATCTGGGTCAAGTTTTGTTTTTTTTTTAAAGACAAACACCTGCTCAGGTTGGGGCACTAAAACCCCAGAGTCCTAGAATCTGTTTTGAAATACAGGTTCCACTATTATTCAAATATGGCGATGTCAACAGATCAGGAAAAAGTCATTATTGAGGAGATAATTCGTTGCCCATGGTTACCAAGAGGAGCAAGCAAGCCATGCCCACGCCATGCAGGACTAGTTGGAGAAGCCCCAGGGTCAGTCAGGAGGCAGAGGAGCAGGGGCAATGGGGCAAAAGGTTTTGTAATGGCTGCCATGGGAAGGGAGAGGCAATGCAGAGTAAGCAGGTTTAGGATTGACTAGTAGGAATAATTTCAGGGGCTCTGGGAAATATGGGCTGTCCAGAACTGTCTGGTATCTGATCTTGAAAAATGAGCACATGGGACAATGGCCACAAGTGTAAGAGCCAGATATGGAGGTGGTTGCGGGGGTGGGCTCTGGATTGCTGTTTGCACAGGAAAGCTGTGCTCCCAGGCTACCATTTATTATGTCCAGGAATTGACTCACTGACCCTGGAAGGGACAATTTCTCCTAGATAGTCAGTAAGGCACCAGATGGTAAAGCGTTAAGAAGACATAAAATAATGGGGAATGATTAATAACTAGAAACACCCTGGTAACACCTGGATTGTGTCTGGCAGAGGAAAGAGTTTCATGAAGAGAGAATTTCTCCATTCCTTTTCCTTTCCCCACAACTTGGCTTGAAAGATGAGTCCCCCAAGCCACACTGAGAAGGGGACTTTTATAGCAGCTCCCGGTCCCATGTTAGCCAGAAAAAGGAAGAGAGGTATGTCCAGCACCCACAAAGGCACCAGGCGGACTTTAATCTTGACCTATCAAAGATATCCGGAAAGTGGGTACTTGCTAAAGCAAGTGCAGTCAGCTTGCAGAGAGGGCACTGAAGAAGCTGACTGGTAGACAACTGAGAGGTGGCTTTTAAAAAGAGCTGGGTAGATGTCTGTCAAGCAGCAAGGACACAAAAAGTTTACAAATGAGTAGACAGTCTCCTGAATCACCGTTCACCAAGTGAATTATTCAGTCAATATTATCAACCACCATTTCAAGGGTAATCTACCAATAAGTATGATTTTATTATTACTGTAAAATTTAAAAAGTACTTTAGAACTAATCTTATCCTTCTATTCAATAAGTATCCTCAAAGAGAAGTGTATCTGATTTTGTGTGTGTGTTTGTGTGTGTGTGTGTGTGTGTGTGTGTGTATAACTAAAAGAAAAAAAACTCACCCTAAAACACATCATTAAGATGAATGATTAATTGTATCTAACAAGCTAAATATGTCTTAGACAAAACAATCCCTTTTGGAGATTAATCACTCTCACATAACACTAGGAAGGAAGTTGGAATTGAGGTGATGTGGTTTGTTCTGGTTCACATAGTTAGTGCTATACTGGAGCTACTGTCCCAGTAGCTCAGTCTTCTGCCACCCACTCAGCCACAGCACTGGCTTTCATGTCACCTGCCAGCATGACCTCTTTAATCTGCATACAAACACCTTTAACATAAAATCTTCATCCAATGCCTTCTCGTGCTTCTTCTCTGGATCCAAGCAGTCATGAAGTTGAGTTAGAAATTCCTCGTGTCTCCTGCACTTCTCTGAGACTTGTTTCTTTGTCTCCTCATTTTCCTTTAAACATTTTCTGTAGGGCAAATAACAAGTACATCAAGGTTTAGCACCATAGAAGATAACATTCATCAAACCAAGTCAGAACTGAAGCTCTCTGTGGGAAATAACTGTCATTTTCAATACAACAGTCTCTCAGACACAGTGCAAAGTATTGTCAACCAAGCCCTTTCAGGGAAAGAGAAATGTAGAGGCAATTTCCAGGCACTTATGCTTGGCAGAAATGCAGAGGAATCCTCACAGCAGTGAGGATTTAGTAACAGGAGAGAGAGGAGTCTCTGCCTGTCCTCAACCTGTTGGGATCCGCAGAAGTAGAGGCAGCATTCACACTCAGGACCCTTTGCCAGTTGTGTGTCACAATCCACATGGCTCTGGTCTCCACACTGGGGTCTCAGTGTAGAGAACCAAGCCTCATTTTATTTTAAAACTATCTTTAAGGGTCCTGGTTCATGGGCCAAACATAACTATAATAAAATACATATATCAGGAGGAGCAGGAGATGGTGCCATCTCTGGAAGAGAGAGGTGTTCAAGGACCAGCAAAGATCATTACGAGTGGCCACACACCTACAATCCTTAAAGAGTATTGAAGAATAGTGGAATTGGCCAGCCCAGGAAAATTGGAAGATGTTTGGTCTGTTCTGAATATCTTATTTTAATTCTCAGATAGGTTTGTTGAAATACCATGGTCCATTACTAATGCTCAAAATGTTCAAAACTAAGAGACCACCAAAAAAGAGACCTACTTTAAAGGCAAATTAGAATCTTTTCAGTAATTTGTTATCATTTTTTCAATATCCTAGACAAGAAACACGATTATTGCTTCCCCTTTTTCTCATGTTGAGTGTTTACTGCAAATTTTTCACTCTATTCAAAGATTAACAAAGCATTCAACTGCAGATACTCAAAAGCATATCATATTCCCATTTAGAAAAATGTATAACAATAAAGGACAAACACCAATATATCTCTGTGTTCTTATTATCAGTGTATGAAAGGTAATATTATTCAGTCTTTTGGCTCATAAAAGGCACAATTCATGCCTCGGCTCTGATTGATTCACATATATGATCCCATATGTCAACTCAAAGATTGCCATCCTACTTCTACATTCCAAAGATCTAGAAACTACACCCACATCTATTCACATTTCATCTGACTCAACAAAGTTCCAGGAACCTACCCTACAGACTTAATCACATAAATGTGATAACATGAGTATCTGTGGATACTTATTACAGATTGATTTATGGTAAATTTTTTAATGGAACTACCATGTTTATAAAAAACAACAAAGGAATTGGCTGAGTAAATTAAGATCTTTCAGGCAATGGAATATAATGGTCCATTAAAATGATAAACTGAATGACTTTTTAAAATATCTACAACATATTATTCAGTAAAAATAGTACATTACATTTTGTCATTTGGGTCCAACTGTCTGAAAATCTGTTCTAAAATGTTAATTATAGATTTTCTGCAATCATACGGTTTTGAGTAATGTTTACTTTCCTCTTGGCATTTTTCTGTATTTTAAAAACTCTTTATGCTGGGTGCTGGTGGCTCACACCTGTATCCTAGCTACTCAGGAAGCAGAGATCAGGAGAAATGTAGTTCAAAGTCAGCCAGGGCAAACAGTTTGCGAGATCCTATCTCGAAAATACCTAACACAAAAAGGGCTGGTGGAGTGGCTCAAGGTGTAGGCCCTGAGTTCAAGCCTTGGACCACAAAAAAAAAAAAAACTTTTTCTAATAAGTTTGTATCATTTTAATATTCATTTATTAGTAGATACTTATCGAATGCCCACTATTCACCAGGCCCTATTAAAGATACTAAAGACACAAAAGGAAAAACACAACAGGTAATAATCTCTGCCCTCATGCAGCTATGTGCTGGTTGGAACAATGGGCAATAATCAAAATATGTAAAACATACAGTATGTTATAAAAGAACTGGAGGGGAGAGATGAAGCAGGGGAAAGTAATATCAGGAGTTCAATTTTAGATGTGCAGTCCTGGAAGACCTCAGTGGGAAAGTGCCTTCCAAGTGAACACTTACAGGAAGCAGGAGCAGAGGAATTAGTAATTGCAAAAGCTCCAAGGTAGGCTCACGCTGTCAGGTTCAAGAAGCAGCAAAGAAGCCAGTGATCTAGAATAGACAGAGTAAGGGAGAGGAAGGTGATAAAGCCAGGCCAGGATGAGCCCGGTATCATTTAAAGAAAAAAAAAAAAAGCACCATTCTTTACCCTAAGTGGAAGAGAAGTCACTGGAAGGCTCTGAGTGAGAACTGACATGATCTAGTTTGCACTTTAACTGGCTGCATGGGGCATCAACAGAAGCAAGAAAAGAAAACCATTATTGTGGACTGAATGTTTGTGTCCCCCAGAATTCATATTTTGAACCTTAATCCCCAATGTGACAGTATTTGGAGTGGAGGCCTTTGGGAGGTAATTAGGTCATGAAGGTGGAGACTTCCTGAATGCAATTAGTGTCGTTTTGAGAAGAAGCATGAAAGACATTATCTCTCACAAGGGAATTACAACAAGAAAGTACCCATCTGCAAACCAGGACGTAGGTCCTTGCCAGGAAAGGAATCAGCCAGCATCTTGATCTTGGGCTTCCCAGCCTTCAGAATTGTAATAAATTTCCACTGGGCAAGCCACCCAGTCTATGGTACTTTTTTTATAGCAACCCAAACTGTCTAAGATAGAAATTGGTACCAGAAGTGGGGTGCTATAGCAGCAAACACTACTGAGAGATGAGGAACTAGAGTGGCATTAGGGTGACAATGAAAGCAGCCAACACATAAACTCATCTTGAAGACAGGTATAGTTGGATTTGCTATGGAACCGGGCATGAGTATGAAAGAGAACCAATGATGACACCCAGCTCTTTGACCCAACCAACTGAAAGAAGGGAATTATCATCAAATGACATGAGGAAAAATGCAGGAGGATTTTATGGGAGCTCAGTTTTGGACACACGAAGTCTGAGATGACTGCTGGGCATTTAATAGGTGTCCAATAGTTAGTTAAGAGATCCAAGCTAGATTTAGAAATGTGGTTGTCACCAGCATTTAGATCAGAGACTCAGTGACATGGCAATGAGAAGAAAATCAAAGACTGAGTTCTGAAGCATTCCAGTATTTGGAAACCAAAAAGATGAGGAAAAACAACAAAAGAGACTAGCTAGAAAGATGAGATGTAAACTAGTCTTGTGTGGTGTCCTGGAAACCAACAGAAGGAAATGGTTCAAGTTGACAGGTCAACTGTGGCTGACCATTATCTTGCCATGTACAGTCACTGTTGATATTTTTGTGGGGGGGGAGGTGGTACTGGGGTTTGAACTCAGAGCTTCACACTTGTTAGGTAGGTGCTTTACCACTTGAGCCATCCTTCAGCCTTTCACTAATGATCTTAGTGAGTGTTTTCAGTGGAGCAGATAAAAGGGAGAGAAGGCAAACTGGAAACAGTACATGAAAACAGTGAAGGAGTTCTAAGTAAAGGAAGGAGAAGACAAGAGCTAGGAGTGCTGGTTTCATTTTTGAACTCAGGGTAAGTAAAATAAGCATCAACTACTTTGTTAATAAAGATATTTAAGTCATACAGAGAATCTTTAAATATATCTTAGAAACAACCAGTTCCTAATTTTGTCTCAGTGTTCATCTCTTGTCAGAACTAAGTGTGGAAAACCTAGGTTTCATGAGTTCTCTGAGTAAATTGGCAATGAACCCCAATGAGGAATGTTTGGGTGGTCTGGCTTCCTGGTGGTTTTATTTTTTTTTTTTTTTTTTTTTTTTTTTTACAATTTTGCTACAGATTTTATTTTTTTTTTATTTTTTTTTTTCATTTTTCTTTTATTATTCATATGTGCATACAAGGCTTGGTTTATTTCTCCCCCCTGCCCCCACCCCCTCCCTTACCACCCACTCCACCCCCTCCCGCTCCCCCCCTCAATACCCAGCAGAAACTATTTTGCCCTTATCTCTAATTTTGTTGTAGAGAGAGTATAAGCAATAATAGGAAGGAACAAGGGGTTTTGCTGGTTGAGATAAGGATAGCTATACAGGGCATTGACTCACATTGATATAACTAGCTTCTAAATAAATGCCTTCCTCCGTGGGCTTCCCTGCCACCTCAAGGTTAAACCTCTTAGACAAAATTCTCCAGTTGTGCATACAATAAGCACTTGCAGCCCTACTCAATAGGACACAACCACACTCAGGCTGTGTTTGTTGAGATGCTTGGTGACACTTAGAAATGAACTTGGGGAACGTTTTCAAGACTGCAAAGACATTTGAGGGCAATAATTTGTTTTTCAAATTGAGTTTCAGAGCCAAATAGTGCAAATTATTCAAGTGTTGATGACAACATGTGTTGTCATCAGAAACTAGTACAACCACTCACTAAACCAAGAAATGCATTGTGGCGTCCTTACTGTAATTTCTCGGCTAGTTCCTCAACTTTCTTCATGAGTCCCTGCTTCTCCTTGATTGCAGTCTGAGCTGTGGTTTCTGCTCTGATTCTGGAACTGGAAAGTGCCACCGATTCTTCTTCGAGCTCCTGAACTCTGCTCTTCAAAGAGGTGAGAAGAGATGATTTTCTGCATTGTTTTCTTTGTAACTCTCCAGTTCAGCTTTCAGTTCCTGATAGCAAACTTCTTTAGAAAGCATCTTGGAACGGAGGTCTCGAAGCTAGCATGAAAAGAGGAAGTGAGAAAGAGAGAAAGACACAGAGAAAGAATTTGACAATCTATCATTTGAAGTACCTATAAGAAAGTCAAAACTATCATTTAAAACCTCACTTGATTATCCATGACTTAATTCAATTTCATTTTCTTTTCTCACATTTGTATCTATATTACCAAACACAAAATTATGCCTTAATAATGGACTCCCTATTCTGTCTTTTTGAAAACCAGTTGAGCAATGTCTTAAGTCAACCTAGTTTCATTTAGGAAACATTTGTGGTAGGCATTGCAAAAAACAATCCAACATTTTGCAGGAGTAACTCATTTCTGCATCGGTCTTGCTGCTGATAAACTATAAGCCATAGCATATGTGGCGTGAGGGCCACAACTGTTTCTCAGGTAAACAGAGACTGTTCACTCCATCACTCCACTTTTCCCACTTGCCTTCTGGAGCATAATTGTGGGTGATAAAGAAAAATAATATTCGGATTTCTGAGGAAAATATGAGAGCAAAGGAAAAATCCTGAGAGCATTTATACAAAAGAAACATTCTGACTTATAAGTTCTTGACATCAGAATGCTGAATGATGTGTGTGCCTGCTGAGGTAAGATGTCGTACTCCCCTACAGGGGAGCTTATCAATGTATGTACTTCTTGGAACCACTTATTCTCTCTCTCTCTCTCTCTCTCTCTCAAACACACACACACACAGAATTATCAATTCATCTTTCTGTGGGTCCTGGCAGCCTCAATAGCAGTGCTAGTGACCTCACAGGCCAGCTTAGCCTTCTCAGGGTCAGTGGACAATGGGCCAAATGAGTCTAGGATGACTTACAAACTACCTACAGTCCAAGTCTAGCCAAGAGGATAGACAGACCACCTTATCTTTCTAGAATTTCCCCAGCTAATCAAACTTCCACAGGAAAGGAATTCAGAATTCCCTACTAAGAGCCCTGGGGTCCAAGCATCCCCATTAAAGGGAGAGACTCTGAAAGCCTAAAAGTTCCCCATAGCAGCTTCAATCCAAAGTCTTCAGGTGCCCCAGACTGCTCAAGCATGCAGAGCTCCTCTGAGAGGGAGAATCCAGGCTAACCACCTGGTTTTACCACGTGACAGTGCGTAACCCTTTTTCCAGGGGAGAGGCACACAATAAAAGAGTAGGTACAGACTTTGCCAGAAGGGTTAAATCTGTATCCTACCATCTGTTTCTAATCCCCTGCACTCTGTTTCACTCCACACGCAGCTAAAAAGACCCATTTCTGAGTGATCAGATGGACCATCTTACCTCAGACTGGGCACATTCAAATTTGACCAAAGTTGCTGCAAGTTCACTTCGAACATTTTCAGCCACATTTCGGTAACGGTTCAGCTGCTCCCGAGTGACTGGACCTTCCAAAGGATGATGGGAAGTTTCCTGGTAGAGTTCCCCCAAAAGACAAACCATTAAAAAAAAGAGTGCTAAACAAACCTTTCTGTGCAGCTGCACAAAGAAAGAAGAGGCAGAAGTTTTCTTTGTATTTCAAATGTGTCAAAAATGCTACCCAAAAATGTGTTTTTCCCATGCTCAGAAAGTTCAAAAGGAGGAGGAGGCAGCCCAGGAGCTGCCTTTGCTGCCCTGGCAAACATAGCAAGACCCTAACTCTCATGAGAAAAGGAAGGGGTTGAAGGTAAGGCCTGGGTAGACCGCCCTCATGAAGCGCGGTGTTGGATCCCCAGCAGTGAAGAAATCAAGCAAAAAAAAAGACCTTTGCCACATAGAGAGTTTCTTCCCATCCAGTTAAAACGTTGTCCAACTTCTGTCCAAAACTGAATGAATCAAGAACGAAGTATCAGAGGCAGTGGGGGTAGGGGGGAGCTACGTCCTGTGTGACTGTGAGAGTTTTCATTGTTCTTCTGTTTCCAGACTACAAAGATGACCGCTCCTCTTGTCTCATTTGTTCTGTCTCCTTCTTAATCACGTACTATTTCTTTCCCCTCAATCTCTTCATCTGTCCTGGGCCACAACTGTGATTCACATGAATGCATGAGATAAGAGACAGTGGAAATATATGGGCCAGCCCTGCCCCTTCCACAAGGGACCTTTTGGCTCCACAGATGGTAGCAGACCCAAAAATCAGGATCCCATTCCCCAGCCACATCATTTCTGCTTTTTCAAGTTAGGCCATATATCTCAGACTTTTAAAGCCAAATTTCCAAATTTTGCAGCTTGACAACTGACTAAAATCTTGTAAAAAGAAAAATATAAGCCAAATAGCCACACCTGTAGAACAGATTTGGCAGGGTGGCTTGTGGGTCACAGTCTGCCACATCAGATCCTGTTTCTGCTCTCTCATGCCTTGTGTGCACTTCCTTTAGCTTGGACAAAACCTGTACACACCTCTACAGGGTGTCCAGGGCCTGTGGTCTTTGTGAAAGACAAACAAGAAAGCCATTCATTTTTGCAAGAATATGAAGAGGTCACATAAAGGAGAATTTCCTGGACTATCTCAGTGCCCTCAGAGGACACATCAGTAAACCAGAGATGACTGCTAGCAACTACTGCTTGATTCACTCATGAAAGCAAAGTCATTGCAAAGCCCTTAACTTGACAACAGTGTTGTCATGTCTAATGTGTGGCAATCCACAAAATGCCAAACAAAACCTCTGGAGTACTTAGTAACCCCCAACTGTTTGCCAAACACAACACATCCAAGGAAACGGTAGATATGCACTCCTGGAGAGAAAGCAGAATAAGTTTAACCCAAGTCTTATTGTGGAACCACATCTGTCAGCCTCCCTGGAGATCCAGAAGGGCCTCCCCACCCTCCCACCACAGCCACATTTCCTAAGCCCAGCAAGGGAAGGCTACAGCTCACTTAGGAGAGGTTTCAACCTTAGTATATCTGGTCTGTAATTTTATACCACCCATTAGGAAAATAAGGTCTCCAATAGCTATGATTATTTCTTTCAATGACTACCATCTTCTGTTTTTAGGAACTGATGTAGTCAAATAATTTTTTAACAATATAGTGGCCACTGAATGTAATAGTAAGAGCCAGACAAAATAGGTTCAAAATAGGCCTTCTTTTAGAAGGCCACAGTCTAAAACAGAACAGTACCAAAAAAAGCATTAACATTTTCAAATGTTCACAAGTGAATGAAGCTGTATATTAAGATGCCATGGGGCAGATGTGGAGCTCAGTGTCGACGCCGCTGCCTAGCATGCATGAGATCCTATGTTAAAACCCAACACCACAAAAATAAACATAAATGCTCTCTGACCCAGCACCTCAGCACTCCACTTGTCTCCCTTTGAGGAATGTTCACACATGTGCACAGAGACATGCCAGAAGGATATTCATTGCTCCATGGTTTGAAAAGCAGCTCCAGGGCAGGAGGTATTGAAGCCCCATAAATTCCTGTTGACAGGGCCATTATTAAACAAAAGCAATTCCATACTGGAGCATCTGATGCAGCAGGTGGTCTAGATAGATCTGTATGTTGGGGCATAACATCCCCTAGACACATCACTGAACAAAAAATAAGAGAGGGTACATCTAGTTTGATACTTGTGGATCTCCCCTGTCCTCCCCTGCCCTGCCCTCCTCTTCTCTCCTCTCCCCTCTCTTCCTCCCCACAGAGGAGAAAAGAGTACCACTGAATGTATTTCCTACAAATGTATTTAGAGACAAAAAAGAGAAATTCTGACAGACACACACCTCCTGGTAACCGTACTTACCTCTGGGGTTTACTGCGATTGGAGCTGGGGCAGGGAAGCAAAGGCTTAATGTTTCAAGGTGAATGTAATTATGTATTATTTCTATCTATCTAATTAAATATAATTAGAGAAAGAAAAATACTGGGAAGAAAATATTAACTGAGGTTCACTTGTGATTATTAGGGCTAGATCTTAATTTCTCTCTTTATAATAATTTTCCAGATCCTTTACAACAACCATGTATTCCTTTTCATAATCAGAATGAACAACCCCTCTGAAATTTAAGAAAAGAGACAAGTGCAGACAAAACTCACCAGCCCTGCCAGGTGTGGTGTATCTACAAAGTACAATCACACAGCTTACAAAGAATGATGACTGTAGATGGTACAGCCCAAGCACACTTGAGAGCTGACATTTCAGGCAGAGCTCTAATTGAGCTCTCCTGTAGTTCATAAAATTTTTGAAAAACTCTTCAGCTTTTCCTCTAAGTATGAAACAATCTTCACTTTTAAAACAATTTTTTACCCTATTCAGAAATGGCAAATTCAGAGGTCCATCCACCTGTCCTCACTGAGAACAGTCTAAGTTATTAGGGCACCTCTGAGCTACCCAGAAAGCAATTTCATATTAATTTTAGAGAGCCAAGTACATATGATTCAATTCTGCTACTGATATTATTATGATAATGATTGAAATTGCCTCACAGGGGGCTCTTACAGTCTTTCTAGAATAAAGGGTGGATCAAAGCTCAGTAACGTAAAGCGTATTCATAACTCAGTACACAATGTGCCCAATTACTCTGACCTGTGCACAATGTCTTGGGCCAGTCTTGCTTACTATGCTGTTTACTTGTCTTAATCTATTCCGTGGACAAAAAAAAGAAGCAGAAGAAGAAAATTACTGGCTGCCTCTGACACACAAAAAGCTCCTAAATCTATTCCATTCCCATCACCATAATTCACCTGCCTTCATTCTGCATTATTCCCCACTGCAGTGCACAACTGTATTGCCTCACACTCTTCTGCAATGCCATGCCCTTCCTCCCGCTCTCCCTCCCTCCCTCTCTCTCTCTGTGTCTCTGTCTCTCTCTCTACGTCTCTCTCTCTCTCTCTCTCTCTCTCTCTCTCTCTCTCTCTCTCCCTCTCTCTGGCAGTTCTGGGTTTGAAACGCAGGCCTTGTCCCAGAAGCATCCCACTTAAGCCATGCCCCAGCACTTTTGCTTTACCTCGTTTTTCAGATGACTGTGCTTTCTGTTCAGACCAGCCTCAGACCTCAACCCTCTTTACCTCCACCTCTGAGCTGGGATTACAAGGGGACACCACCGATGCCCACCTTGTTTTTTTCAATAGTCTCACTAACTTTTTTTGCCCAGACTGGCCTTGAACCACGATCCTCCCAGTGGGATATTGTTTATAATATTGCTCCACTACAGATACTGTGTCTTCTTTTCATGGGTGGGGCAGGCGGCTGCAGTTAGAAACACTTAGGTGTTAAACCTTTTTGGGATTTGCATGAGGTACTCATTCTGAAGTGTTCATTAATACCTGCAGAACTAATATTTACTGATCCAGAACTCATCTTCACAATAACCTGATCAGTGTAGGCTGTCGCTCATCCCTGCTCCTAAAAAATGACGCAGTAAGCCTGAGAAGGGGAATTACATTGTCAGATACAAAGAAAGAGTAGTTTAAAAAAAAGAAAAAAAAAAAAAAACTGTAGAAGACCAGAAGGTGATGATTGCACTTCTGTACTGTGTAGTTTTTTTCATTGAGCAGTAATTTATGAGAAGTATGCCAAAGAGCTAAAAAATTAATAAACTATAATAAAAATGATTTGCAAAATATATACAAATGACAGCAGACACATATTTAAAAAATTTACCTTCCATAAATCAGAATATTCATGCAGTTATATCTAAATCTAGATGTATTATGCTCAAAACTATCAGAGTCCAGGAATCTCCCCAAAATAGAAAACTACAAAACTATAGTAAACATTACACTACTTGAAAACAATAATTTACTAAACTGTTTCCGTCTGACTTCCAAATACAACTGTGTACATGAAAGTTAAAAAATTGCAATGTAGGATATAAACGTATCGTGAATTTTGGAGAATCATTCTTTACTATTCTTTTTTTTATTCATTTATTCATATGTGCATACATTGTTTAAGTCATTTCTCCCCCCTGCCCCTTGTCTTCTCCCTCTCCCCTCACCAAACCCCCTCCCTTCCAGCAGACTGTTCTGCCCTTGTCTCTAATTTTGTTGAAGAGAAGACATAAGCAATAATAAGAAAACAAAGCATTTTTGCTAGTTGAGATAAGGGATAGCTATTACGGAGAGATTCCTAGCATTGCTTCCATGCACAAAATGTGTTACAACCCCCAAATTGACTGATCTCTACCTGACCTCTTCCCACTACTTCCCGGTCACCTT